TAGTTTTCAGGGCAACTAGAGAAAATTTATTAATTACTTTTATTATTTTTGATACTTTATACGTACGAAGATACATACTTGTAGGAAGAGAGATATAAATATCATATTCGAACAAATAAAAATAAATCGTGACTTGAAGACCCTAGAGATACGGCTTCTGATTGCTTTTCAAATTTTTACCATATTAGTAACGATATAATCGAATAATCTTTCAAAGATTATTGTTTACCGATTTTAGGTAACAACTAGAAAACATTTTTTCGAACTTATCCTCAAACAAGTTTGCTATTGGTAATGAATACTGCTGTATCATGAATCAGGTACGGCGCTATGCATTTTGCTGACTTTGTACGCAATAAATTCTGTTGTCAAGTGCCCTTCCCACAAAATTCTAAAATTTTATTGCTTGATGCTTCGCTGAATTTTACAATTTTGCTGTACGTAAATTCTGCCGTACCGGCAGTGATCATGATTTCAAATTCCCCCTCCCCGAGATTTACTGTGTTATCTGAAAAACAGCTCACAAGTTGCTAAAAATAGCTATAAAACTGGTTCCACAGCTTTTAGCAACGGCCTCCCGTTGTGCGTTTGGAAACTCAGCTTTTGAAAGAAAAGGAAGGGGAATAATTTCTCTCTGACTACAGTATAGATGAGGTCCGTGACTTTGTTTGAGCTACTGCAGAATGTTCTGAAGTACACTTTTTTCTGTTTCGGCAACATTCATCTTGAGAATTCAACACTTGTTCATTAGCCCTTAGTAATTGACAGAAATGCTTTTAGAAAGTAGTGGGTTCATTGATACCAACAAAATGGTTGGTATCAATAAACTGGGGATACGTTAGTTTCAGTTGTTGGGTTCAAATGAACCTTTCAAATACTAAAAAAGTCCTTTTGCATAATCGAATCCTTTTGCATAAAGAATTTCATCTGAGAATAATTTTTCTACTTAAAAATGAGTTTTGCAGTACTTTTTAAATACTACTTGTATTTTTATTTTCGAAAATTTTCATAAATATTGTAATTAATTATTTCCAATTTTAATAACTCGCAGAAAAAACACAATTTTCAAGAAATTTTTTTATTATGGTTATTCAAACTTATACTAATATACAGCATCTTTTATATTCCTTATACATTTGACACTGCATGCTTCAACCTGCATGTAAGTTTCTCTTCCTTAGTAACTCCTGACCCAGAGACGTCTCAATGAAAGCCAAATCATGCACAAAATTTTCACCTGAAAAGAAAAAAAAAAAAGAAAATGATAAAATATTTTTAACACCATATTCTCGACCCCCCCCAAAAAAAGAAAATTGCAAGAAAAGAAATACAAATTTCTAACAGAAAAATGCATTTTCAAGCAGCTGAAATTGTTTCACAAATTAATAATGCAGATAGCAAATGTAACATATGGCACTATTGCCACTCAGTGCAATCTCTGCATATCCTAAATTCTGCTGGCTGATGTCTTCGTAAGTTCTGAACATTTTTTTGCCTCTAAATTTTGCTGCTCAGTGCCCTCTGCTAAATTATAAAATTTTGACTACCACTGGTTGCACAGGCCCTGATCAAAGCAAAGAGGCAAGATGCTACCTGCTATTGATAAACTGCCTTATAAATACCACAAATCTAAATAAATATCAGTTTTATTTCCAAAACAGAATTATCTCACAGCTAAAGCATTGCCTTTGCAGAAAATCTTCTAAATGGAAATAGAATTGCATCCACATTACATGTGCAGAATCCCAATAATTCATTATAAACAGTTCCAAACCATAGTTAGGCTTAGAACTCACAACAGTATTCTTCTTGGAAGTCTTCCTAAGGAAATGGTAGTATATTCAGGGAACATGTGGGCAAAATCATGACAGTATATCACAAGCCTAATTCTTGACCATACATACTAGAAAGATCACAGAAATTCCTCACAGGAAGCTAGATTCATATAACAAAATTTCATGCAACATATGGCATATGGGAAAAAAAAAGCAAGGACATTATAATCACTAGCATAGTTTATACCCAAATGAGTTGCAGATGGTGCACTATGTGCTCACAGCTGATTATCACTAATGCAGATATATATTTACTAATATTTAGAAGATGATGAAGTATAGCAAAATATACAAAACATTAGTCCTTAAATCCAACACATTTTCTGATTTTCATACCATCTAGAATAATAGATTTGACGTTAGGTACAATATCAGAATTTTGGGTACATGAAATGTGAAATGGTTTTTTATTTTTAGTCACTGTTTCTAGTAATTTGTTCGAAAGTAACAAATAAGCTGGTTTCAGTCTGTCAATGAAATGTTAACTTGTCTGTCCTTAATTAAGACTCGGAAATATTTATCATATTTTTTCACCACAAAAAAATGGTCCCTCAATAAGCAAATTCAAGTGCCTTTTTCACACGATCAGTTCTCACAAACACATGAGAACATGATCTCAAGTCTTTATGCATAAATATTTTATGTTTGTTAGCAGTTGATAAACTGGTGCTGATCCATAAAAGACAGTAAATTTGTTACAAATGGTTCAGGTTTAGTTTTAGTGGTAGGTAGTCGAAAAACTCACATGGTAACCTTATTTGCATAAAATATACCATTTGAGCTACAGAGTGATTAGTATCAGGACATATTGCAACTCTGAATCCTAGAAGGATTTCTGTCCATCTGATGTTGCTGTGCTGTGAGCCTTTATTGCATTTTTTTAAGTTCTGAGAAACTGCTCAATTTTCCCACTGCAATGTGGGTGGTATGGAGTGGAACGTAAAACTTTAGCACCACATACTTTTGCAAGGCTCTTGAAAGGCTGCGACTCAAACTGTCTTCCTTGATCTGAGATTATGGAACTAGGCACAACAAATCTGCTAATCCAATGATTGTAAAATGCTTTGACAACCATTTCTCTTGTGATATCTGGTAAAGAAACTACTTCTCCCTAACAGGAAAAATGGTCAATAAATGTCAGATAATACGTCCTACCAGCAGATGGTGGTAATGGCCCAATCAGGTCAACTTGCACAATACTTAATCTAGCATGAGGTGCTTGGAACTCGGCTATTTTAGATTTTGTATGCCTGTTGACTTTGCTCCTTTGACAATTAACAGGACTTTAAGTCTATTCGTGAATTTCTTTCTTTATATTTGGAAAGATAAATTTTTCAGTCATCTCGTTGACAGTTGTCCTGATACCAGAGGAGCAAAATTATGAATTTGATGAAACATTTGTTGTCTAAATTGCTTTGAAATAAAAGGCCTGATACTGGTTGTTGAGCTGTCACATCTTAATGTTTTCCAAAATGCTAATGTAGATGATTTAAATTTCAGTGAAGCACTACCTGTCATTAAATGTTGCAATTCTTCATTATATTCTTGAGCATCTGCTACTGCTTCATAGCCAGTAACTGAGACTACTTCAACTGCAACTAAATTTTCTTTGGCATCAATATGCTGAATATCAGTTGAAAATTCCGATATATACTGAAGTTGGTGTGTTGTTGTCTGGGTTATGCCTTCCCATTCTTTTGCTTCTATGCATATGACAGTGGCTTGTGATCAGTAAGTATGATGAATTTGCGTCCTTCCGATACATGTTTAAAATGCTTGACAGAAAGATATATTCCTAAGAATTCTCTGTCATAGGTACTATAAACCTTCTGTGCATTATTTAATGTTTTAGAGTAGAACACAATAGGTTTTCAGTCTTGTTCTTGTTCTTCCAATTGCTGCAATACTGATCCTATAGGAAAGTCTGATGTATCTGCACACAAAGGGTAATCCATTGGGAAACACAAAAGGGCACCATTGACTAAATCAGATTTGCACTTCTCAAACTGGTGAATTCCTTCATCTGTGCAGGCCTACCAGCGGCAGAGCGGTAAAATCGCTGAACACTGGTAGTTCGGTCCGAGGTTCGAATCCCGCGAACGTACTGGCTGCATGGGCGTTTTCGTGGTTTTCCCCATGTGTAACGTGTATATGAGCCAGTTTCCCTTAGAAAGTCCTCCACGAAGGCATCCCTTCTCTTAGGCAGATAGCCCTAGTGTGCTTTGCCATAATTAAATACACTAAACACCTTCATCTGTGCATGGAACTTTACAATGATCTTTTTTTATCACCCTTTAACATTTCGTGTATGACTCCTTGAGTTTCTGCAGCATTTTTCAAAAAGCATCGATAAAATTTTATCATGCCCATAAATGAACAAAGCTCATGTATTGTCGGTAATTTACATTGCAGATTACTTCAACCTTTTCTGGCAGCGAACAGGAACCTTCTGTAGTTATGAGGTAACCCATAACTTATGTTTAATATGTAATACATAATGTAATATCCCACCACATTACCCATTTCCAATCCTCAGATGTCCAGTGTCTTTTCTCGACACCACTGAAAATGAAGTCTTGCATGTCGGCAGAACTGAGTGATTTTCTTACAGGCACCAAAACTATGCATTCCTATCCCTCTGCAATTCGCTGCGCATAGTTCTAGCTGAAATTTGTTGGGAAGAGCCTTGGTTGACGATTTGTGATAGTTGAATCCGTGTTCTGCCGTACAATTCATCGGAGATACCGCCGATCACTGTCTTTGAAAACTATGCTCGAACTGCAGTTACATTTTTTAGAGAAGGATTCGAAATCGATGCCCCCACTAAATGTGCACCAACAATAAGCCCCTTTTTCAAATGGTGAACGATCTGCCGCCTTTTTTCCCCATTTTACTTCATTCATCATGAAAAGCACTCTTACACCTTACTTATACTGGCATTTTAACCAAGTATAATCCACATCATAGAAAAAATTTGGATATTTCATCCCTAGCATGCATTCAGATGAAAATCTGAAAGGTTTCTTATTGATTGGCCAGTGTGTGTATTATTATATTATGCAACATGAGGCAGCATTAACATGTGGAGCTGGGAAGGCTTCTAATGATCACCTTTCTCTCTTGTGAGAGCAGGATGCACTGAAATTTGATGTCCTTATTTTTTAGAATGGTTATGAGTTTTGTAGACAAGTGGATCATCCACGTTCAAGATATAAGCAATCATCTTTCCACAATACTCAATTTTGTATGTCTTCTTCTCAAATATCATTGTATGGATGTCCTTCCAGCTGAATCAGGAGTCCTGAATTGTGATAGGATTAATGCAAGCCACTTGTTTGGTGTAGCAGAATCCGAGACTGCCTAGATACAGATCCTAGCCAGTAGTTCGCAGAGTTCTCTACGTCAACCCCCGGGGGGGGGGGGAATGTCAGGCTGGGGTACTGGCATTTATATTCCATCAGCTTTTTTGCAGCATCAAAAACCTTCATTCTCATGTTAGCAGACACTTTCCTTACTCTTTCTGGCTGGTGACAAATAGTTTTATTTCTTCTTGGCTCATTGCCGGAATCTGAACTTCCGCCGATCGGCTTATAGCAGCTATCATCATTTAAATTTTCTTTGCCTGTCGGGTCACCAGATTTTATGACTTTCATCATCCCCAGGTTGCTGTTCAATGCTATCCGCTTGCTTTGAAGAGTTTGGAAACTTTTCATCTCTGGATGCTCATTTTTGCTTCTGCAGGAAATCGTTATGAGCAAGCATTTTAAGGTGTTTGAAGAAATCAAGGTCACATTCTTCAGCAGCAGTGAGAGGAACCACTACTTTCGAATATATTTCCAAGTTTGTGATCTCAGAAACAATAAACTGGAAAAAATTGCTCATTAATAATGCAGAAATCAGTAAAAAATTCAATAAAACCATATGGCATACACGATATCAGTACTCTTCCCACTTCTGCTTCAATAGCTTGCAACATACCCGAGGAAAAAATTTCATTGTATGTGCTGTCCAACTCTGCACCTTTCTTTGCACAAAAAGCACTACAAGCATCATGCTTGCCAAATATATGATGTGGCCCATTTCTCAAGTCAGATACTAATGCATCAATAGCTTCTTGTGTGTGCTGATAATGGCTAGGTAAAGCATGAGCTTTTATAGCTACTCTAGCACCTCTGACTAACAGTGGCATTTTAATTTTCAGCAATTTACGGGCAGCAATTCCTTTAGCCCCGGGAAAGCGCGCAGTATTTTGCTGAAGTTTCTCAAGAGCTCTGCGATATCTTCGAACAGCATGGTTAGCACATTCTACTTTGATCACCCGTCCTCCATATGAAACGCTTTCTTTCACTTTGGCCATTGTGTTAGCATCTCCATCTCCAACAAGTCGAGTACAACGTATTTTGTGAACACACTGGAGATAATTCAGACCTTCCACAATGGCACTGCTTTCCATACCTGTAGAAGGCCCATTCCAATTTCGCCAACAAAGGTGCACTTTATTTGGCATCTTGCCATCTTCAATAGCACTGCATATAAGGCACACTTTGTTGCGAATTCCAACAAACAAAATTTTCTGGGTGACCATGCCTATAATAACAGATATGCCACTTGAAGCATTGTAACCATGCCCATAGCTTCTTTTACACCAACCTCCATCAACAATGACAGTTATACAGTGATAACCATCATTATCTTTATCATTGCGAAGTTCTGCCTGCCTTTTCTCCTCTTCTATAGCAGCACACATAGTTTCCTGTGCACATCCCTGTATTATTTTGCCAGTAGTTCGCTCACAAGAAGCAAAGGTCGAGTTGCTCATATACGGAATTTCCATGATGCTAAACTTTTCCTCCTCTTGTGAAAATCCACTGCCAGTAGATAACGCACCTAATACTGCAAGCTGATTTAGGCTGCTTTTCTCCATATCAGAACAAATTGTTGCCATTTCCCCACATAAAATTTTATCACATACATAGTTATATGTAGTGACAAGACCACGTCGAATCACTTTGTTAAAAATAAATGATCCTCCAAATTTACAATTTAGGGAATGTTGCTCTAATGTCCTAGCCTGCACTATTACAAAAGACATATTGCAAATTGTTCTGCCAGATGGTAATGGATTTGCCTTTCGTCGATCTTCCCTTTCGATAATTAAAGGTGAATCAGGACACAGAAATTCATCATTAAGGTTCTCCTGAAGAGGCTCAGACTCCAAGCTAAAATATATATATATACAATATATATACATATATATAATTAATATATATAAATATTACAAATTAGGTTTAAATTTGGCTTATTTGATGACAGCAAAGCACTTGATCTTCCTAAGAGGAGGAATGCTTTCATGGAGGACTTTCTAAGGGAAATGGCTCATATACACGGGGAAAAGGGGAAAACCATGAAAACGCCCATGCAGGCAGCCCATTCGCAATTAGGTTTAGGAAATTTAGGCAACAGATAGCAAATAAATTAACAATAATAATACACTGGATTACCAGTATATTACTACAAGAAGATGAGTCATCTTCACAACTGCTGCTTCCATGCTCGCAGTGTCATTTGCTCGTGCAATATTAGTCACTACTTTGTGTGCCGGAGGTTTCACATGAAGGGCCTCTACACCTGAGTATAAAATGTTCGTGTTCCAGTAAACACTGAATTCAGAGGGGCAAGAATAACTCTTTCATGGTGGATAACTCAGTTACCAAATGGCTTTCTAAGGCTCTATTCAAGCCGTTGTATAAATGTCATAATTCCCAACTAACAACGCTTTGTAGTCAGACCTTGCTATGTCACAAAAACTAGTTTGGGCATTAAGCTTGAAGTTTTCAACTTTGTGCCGACTTGATATAAGAGTCGGCCAATCAGAGCATATACATAAAACCTATTGAGAGAGAAAGCTGTAGACACATACATGCATGCACAAATTTAGCTTCTCTAATTGGCTATGGCTTAGACCCTCTCTCGCAGGTGTGAATGGAACTCCCACATTTTGTGCCTTATGATTATGCGTCTATGACATTTATACCATCATGTGAACGGAGCCTTAGGATGGCATACTAAGAAGATGCACTGTCTTGTGGGGATAAGCAATTTATACTCCTAAGCCTAAAAAAAAAACTTGGAAAAAAAAAAGATCACGACTTAAATTTGTTGTCTAATTGCTCTAATTTGAGGCACATTATGAGAGGAAAGCAAAGGTAGTAATCAGAATTATTTAAAAAATTTTATCCTTATATTTTTCTTAAAAATTCTGTAAAATAATAAAATTTGTGGTTTTCCTCAAATAAATATATATGGAAAAAATAACAGCCACATAATCACAGATTTCATTTTGTTATATTTTATTAACAAAATTTAAATTATTAAAAATCTCTTTCATGAAGGGAACATAAAACATCATGAAAACAATGAAAAAGAAGCAATATTTAAAAAAGATAGTAGGCTTATTGATGAGGCTCCCATCAAAAGAATCAAACCCCAAAATATTTTCATTTGCTTCAGTGTCCCGACTGAAAATTTCACTGATTTCAATGAATATATTTTTAAAAAAATCTTTTATTTTCAAGTTCTTTCATGCAAAACGTCCAAATTTGGTACAAATCAAATTCATCCCCCTCTTTTTGATAGCTACAATATTATATTTAACAGTTTTAATAGCTATCAGTATGTAAACAACATAATGTAACACCATAAAAGAAAAACATAAATGATGACATTTTAATTTTGGCATAGAGAAATACATATTTACCCCAAAAGAGAGCTTGTATTTCTACCTTCTACGTCAGAGTCAATAACTGAAATGTCCAGATCAGAACTGAGAAGAAAAGAACCATAATTAGTTTAATTAAGATACAATAACACACCGACCAAGTATTAATTTGAGAGTCAAGCAACAAAAATCAGCATCATATTTTGAAATATTCACTATTTGAAAATATAACGCTGATTTTGGTTGCTTGACTTCTAAATTAATACATAATTAGTTAACCATAATTAAGTAACTGTAATATCATGCACAGCTAATATCTATTTTAAAAATAAACCAACTTACCTCAGGAAAGCCTGGTTTGTCTTAGGAACATTAGCTGTAACTTCTGGCGTAGAAAAGTCAAATTTTTCACTTCCGGACCTAAGAATGAAAGAAATAAACTGCTATAACATAATTAAAAAAAAAAAAAAAAAAAAACATGAATAAATAAATAACACATAACAAATTTAAGCATTAAGCTATGTATGACTACCACCCATCTCAGACAGTGCGACAGATATTGCTGTATACTGTTTCGCCATACCCTGTGTAGCTATTATATCATGCTGTATAACCACAGTTTAGAAAAATTACAAAATGTGTTATTTATATCTATCTAAAATGGTACATTACTACATGATTTGTAAGAATAAATTAGAGGGCTCTGCGAATGAAATTCCTTCCAATTAAAAAATGTAGGAATAAAGAAAATGCAGGAATTGCAAATGCAGAAATGAAAAAGGGGATTATATTTTTTGTACAGAATCCAGATGACATATTTTTCAACATTTTAGAAATTTCAATATTAATTTTAGGGGCATAAAATATTAGGCCCCTAAAAGCAGAATATAGTTTTTAAATGTTCAGATAATCTTCCTATGAGAAGAATTCCTTTGAGAAGTACACATCTGAACCACAATTAAAAAACATGTACAAGAACAGAGCTGAGGACTTCTGTTTGCAGAAAGTCTGTCACATAACATATGAAAAGTTTCTTATTGGTAGATTTTTGATCAGACAGATATTTTATTGTTATACAGAGAAAGCATTCACTCCCTTTATACTGGAGATAATTCAATTTGGACAATGGCAAAAAGGCTAAGCAAGCCTGAGCGTATTGGTCCCATTCTTGGCACTAGTTTGGTTTACGCTCAAAATACACAGCAGATATTTTCTAATTACCTGCATCCCAATATCAATTCAATTCAGCTTTTGGTGGAATTTAACCATTTGTGACATATTTTTCAAAAACTACACTTCACAACATGCATACATGACAAATACACAGAACCATAAATAAACAAGCAATAATATATATTTATATATAAATTTTACTAAATGATCATAAAATGTTCCAACGCTAAAAGAAAGTTTTAACATCCAAGTAAATGACATAATAAAAAAAAGCAAGTTGAACAGCGAGCACATGAATAAATGTGCATACACCTGTAAAAAATACCATAGGTAACTGACAAAGCATTTCGTAGCAAACATATGACTATAAAATTTCCAATAATACATGTAATGATGGTGAATTCAATTTAGATCGCAAGAACATGCTCATACTTTTGAAAAGATTCAATTATTTCAGCAATTCCTTGTGAATT